TGGTAGGGCTGCTATAGGAAAATTTAATACATGGGGTGACTAAACAATAGAAATTGATTTCTTCACAGTTCTGGAGGATGGAAATCCAAGATCAAGAGCTGATTTCTTCTGGCCTCTATCCTTTGCTTGTGAATGGCCGTCTTTATGTTCACATGGCATTTCCCCTTTGTTATGTGTCTACGTCCAAATTCCCTATATTCTTATAAGGACACCAGACATATTTGATTAGGGCCCACTCTAAAGACCACTTTTCTGCTTCATTACCTCTGTACAGCCATGTTTTGAGCTACTACATGTTCAACTATCATCATATGAATTGAAGGAAGGACACAATCCAACCCATAATAGACAGCTAGAGGGATAAAGGGTTTTCATGTGTGTCTGTTTGTTTGTTTGGGCACTAGGAGGGAGGAAGCTGGTGATGGGGATCTTTGTTGCAATCTTCCCGGTACCATCAGGGCAACCTAAATAAAGTCAGCACATGTTCTTGAGGTAAGCATAATGAAGGTTACCTTAACTAGCAGGAAATCTACAGACTGAACATGATGGAAAGCTCTAAGGCCCTAGTTACGTTTTTATTCCAACATAATAGTTACCAACCGTAGGTGATCCCCCCCACCCCGCCCCAGAGGACACCAAACAATGTCTGAAGACATTTTTGATTATCACAGCTAGAGTTGTGCTATTGGTATCTAGTGAGTAGAGGTCAGGTCAGCATCCTACCATGCAGGAAAGCCATCACAACAAGGAATTATCTGGCCCAAAATGCCAATAGTGCTGAGGTTAAAAAGCCCTTTTCCAGCAAGTGATAAAAGGCCACTGAAAGATGATAATAAGCACACAGTCAAACCCACAAACACTCTGGTTATAATATTCAATGACGTTGCGGTATGTTATAAAAGAATCAAATTTGGTAGCTAATTGGTAATGCTCATATCTTTGCTCACAAACATTAGTAAGCTCCAAAAACACACTACATGCTAAGGGTGCAAAAATAGAAAAGAAATAATCTTCACAGAACTATAGTCTAAAGGTGATAGGATAATGCATAATTTTAGAATTTTCCTGTCATTTTCATATTCATTTTAGCATGATATAAAGTAGGAAGACAAGGGCAAGGCCTCCAATTCCAAGTTCCCTAATTGGATAAAATCCAGCCATCTTATACAAAACAATAGGTTAAGTAACTTATCTCACATCTTTATTTCTGATCTCTTTTTTTTTATTGTTTCAGATTAATTGAGGGTACAAAGAATTACCCTCAAAGAATTAGGTTACAGTGTTTGGATTTGTTAGGTAAAGTCCCTCTTCTAATTGTGTCCCGCCCCCAGGAGGTGTGCCATACACCCTAACAATATGTTCATTAAGTAGGAGCATATTGATTTTTAAAAAGTAAAGCAAAAATACTTAATGTGCTTTGAAATTCTTTTGAAAATAATTTTATTAATAACCTTTAAAATCTTTTATGGCACACCTAAGATCCTCTCACAGCACATGGGTTGAAAATCACTGATCCATGATGTACCAGGCACTGTACTGTATCTCAGTTTATTCTAGGAAGCACGTATGTATGATATTGTAAGTTATAAATTTTGGTCTTCAACTCCATTTCCTAGCACACAACACCTAAAATCTCTAGACTCCAAAGTCATGGAGTTTTGTGTTCTAGTTGATTGATGGCTGGTGCTGGAAAGCAACAAGATAGCTCTGAAATTCCTATAGACTTCTGGAAATCTGTCCTCAACTTTGGAATATACCATTCTACCAATAAAATCACACTACAGCAAGTTTTTTAGATGATATGCTTAGGAAAGGGGGAAAAAAGTGTTCAATATAAATGAAGAATTTCTCTTACATCCTCTCTCATATAATTTTCCATCAGCTAGTTCTCTGCCCTCAG